ACATTACACCAGCAAACCAACTGCTACCACAGAGCATTAGAGAAGCTGCTAACACAATATTACACAATGATGAGCTAGTTAGCTAAAACTCAGATGAGCATCATCCATTTTGACTGAAGACGCATTTCTTACAAGCATGTGTAGTTATTGGTTGAGTGTTGATGCATATAATAATTTACTACATCTGATTAAGGTTGAATTTAACCAAATATTCGCTCATTTCAGCAACCTCCAAATGCTTTGCATCCTCATTTATACGCTGGTCTATTCTCCTTATCATTACTTTTATTCATTTAAAAAGATCCTTTTTGAATTGTATACCCTGGAAAAAATAACTAAGTGACTGACATGATGTAAGAACTGCTGTGTATTATCTCCATTGAACAACCGATCCTGATTTTACTGTTGATTTATCCAAGAGTTTAACATTAGTTACTGTATCTGAAATGTATTTCATGATTAATTATTTAGCCTTACAATTTAGTTTCTATAGTTGTAACAAAGTTTCATTGTGTCACACAGAGTATGTTTTATGCCATTTTAGATCCACTGTGTGATGTTTTAAGTAATTCTTCACTACATGCAATATTAAAGCAATGGATAATTTTATAATAACAGCAACAAAGAAGCCTCGTTAATGAAATATGTTTAACAAACACTGTAATATCTGTAATTTGTTTATTATATACAGTACATGTCTTGGGCCCGGCAGCCAACGCTAACCCTTCCTTAGGAAACGTGGTGCCACCTTTCATTCAGGATTTTAAGTGTAAATAGATCCCTTCAGTGGACTTGAACATTTAGAAAAGGAAAGTCCACAAAGCTTCTCTTATGAATGTCAGCATGGGAGATCAAGGACTGTCCACTTGTTTGCTTATGAACAACTTACGTATTTCCTGATTTTCTAAATTACCGAAGCCTACTCATCACATGACATACTTGCCTCGCAAATTTGCCTTATGCTGTCAATGATACAACATTAAATATGCAGCCTAAAAATATATTTGATTTGTAGATATCACATTTGCCTTTCCTAAAAATTACAATAAAAAAAAAAACAAAAACAAACAGATATAATTCCCTTCCTTGTCCCCATAGCTTTCGGGATGTAAGTTCTAGGGCCAGACTAGTGTGGTAGAAAAATTATAACACAGAGAGGCACTTAGAATAAAAGTCTGGACCTCTTAGTTTGGTGAGTAAAGAAAATCTCTTTTATTCCAGCAAGTTCAGCAAAGCGCTCCCATCACACTCTGGCCCTTGGTACCAAATCATCCCCAGCCCACAGAGCATAACAGACCCAATATGCCTCCCCTCCCGGGCCTACTAATGTCCAATTTTACTTCCACACTAGCAGTTCCTGTCTTAGCCGTATGGTAAAGCTGATACAGATTAACAATTGGTAAGTAATATGTTTCCAGACCCCTGTTTTAGTGATTTGCAGTAAAAAGGTATTTGTGTATGTGTGTGAGGTTTATATTACTTTGTGGGGACCAAATGTCTGGGTAGGGATTCAGGTCGTCATGGTAGAATTAGAATTTGTCCCCTATAGGAATGAATGGCGAGTCCCCACAAAGATATAATTACAAACCTGTGTGTGTGTGTGTGTGTGTGTGTGCATATCTGTCCATCTCCTCATGCTTATCCAGTACATTGTAGCAGGAGGGTGGAAGCTGAACCCATGCACAGCCACAGGAACACCCAGGCCACATGCACACACAGAACGGGCAATTTACTGATCGTACTACACGTTTTGGACTGTGTATGAAAACCTGAGTATACCCAGAGGAAACACTACAAGATGAGGAGAACACACAAATGTACATAGAGTAAACATGGAGTAAGGGTGAAATTTTGAGCCTTTAACTCTGGGAGTGCGAGACAGTGGTTGCTCTGTATATACAATCTCTCTGCTTCTCCTGGTGAGAGACGTGGGGCAGCATGCTTCCATTGAAGGATACAATCCCTCCAAAGTGTCTTCCCTGGGACCTCTGCCCTGTGGGGCACTGGGTTCCACCCAGGGGTTGTCCTTAGGACACCTGACACACCTCAAACTGTATTCATACAGGGAGCAAATGGCTCGCAGTAGCAGCCCCAGTACGCCACGTTCCTGTAGCCCCTCCCACAGTATCCAGCTGGTCACGCAGAGCTGGTCACGCAGAGCTGGTCACGCAGNGCTGGTCACGCAGAGCTGGTCACGCAGAGCTGGTCACGCAGCCTCCGCCTTCTCCTACTCTGCACAGTACATGCAGGCTTTGTTCTCAGCTGTGTGAAGGAGACGTGATCCATTTTACCTTGATCAGGCTGGAATTCATCTTATTTCTGAATCTTAGGTTCAAGCATCAGGCAGAGGCTCCCTAATAGCCTGATATAGGCTTTCCCAAGCAGACTGGGAACTGTGATTCCCCCGATAGCTGGAACATTCCATCAGCTCCCCCTTTTTAAAAATATGGACTGGTCCAGAGGCACTTTGCATGCCTTCCATGCAACATTGAGGGGGTGCATGATTCACATCACCACAACAACATACAGTGCTTTCACCATCTCCGGATGGATTTCATCTCTCCCTTCTACGGAGGCCACTGCTCACCATAGCAACTTCAGCCGCAGAGACAGAGTTTGATCCATCAGCAGTTTCCAGGACTGCCTCCGGAGAAGAGGGCATAAACATTGGATTAAGTAGTTCTTCCAATGCTCAAAAATACCTTCAGAGTTCAGCCCCAGACCAGCTGAACACGAGGTCTTGCCTCCCCCTCCTCATGCACTAGTTTGGCAAAACATTTTTGGGGTCATCCGATAGTTTTTTTGGCCTCCACAGCCACCTTCGCTTCCTTCCTGGCCTCTCAGGACCCTCCAGGCGTCACTCTAGACAGGAATTTCCCTAAAGGCCTCGACAGCATCCTTCACTATTTCTGCCCACTAGCAGGTCCTACAGTTACTGCTATAAAAGTCACCATCTGCTTCCTGGCCATAGCTCCTTGCATCTGCGGCAACAGTTGCATTTTCGAACATAGATGCTAAAAAATCATGGGACTGAGATAACAGAAAGTCGTACAGATGTTGAACTTTACCTACTTCATGAACAGCATGTAACTACATCCTTGGTTGGACACCATTATATCAGCCACATAATTGCTGGCTTTTGCCCTTGTTGTTGATGAAGAGTTGTCCTTTAAGAACATAAGAACATAAGAAATTTACAAACGAGAGGAGGTCATTCAGCCCATCAAGCTCGTTTGGGGAGAACTTAACTAATAGCTCAGAGTTGTTAAAATCTTATCTAGCTCTGATTTAAAGGAACCCATGGTTTTAGCTTCCGCTACACTAGCAGGAAGACTATTCCATACTCTAACTACACGCTGTGTAAAGAAGTGCTTCCTCAAATTTGTTTTAAAATGTTCTCCCGCTAATTTCCACTTATGGCCACGAGTTCTAGTATTTAGACTAATATTGAAATAGTCATTTGGCTGAACAGCATCCAGACCCGTTAGAATCTTATAGACCTGAATCATAGTCTCCTTTGCTCAAGGCTAAACAGATTCAGTTCCGCTAACCTCTCCTCATAAGACATTCTTCTAAGACCAGGAATCATTCTCGTAGCTCTTCTTTGCACCTTTTCTAAAGCAGCAATGTCCTTTTTGAGGTATGGTGACCAAACCTGCACACAGTATTCTACCTTGTTGGATGCTCCCAAGAATTGCCTCAAAGAAAAAAAAAAACAGTTTTCAGGATATCTTCACAAACATCTCAGCGTACCAGGGGTTTCAATCTCTGGAGGATCCTTCTTCATTCAATGCAAAAGATCTACGAAGTATTTCTTATCTTTCTTACTCTGTTCTGAATGCCAGAATACGCTGATGTAGAACCACATCGATAACCACCTCTCAAGGTACAGTAATCGATGAACTGCCCCAAAAAGGAATGTGACTGATTATAAAATGAAACGCAACATTTTTAAAATTTATAATCGATGATTAAACTTCCTGTCTGTAACACATATGCATGTAATCGTCTCATTGCATGGTCATAACTTACATGCCGGATTGCTTTTCTGCTTGCAATGTCAGCTATTAAGATTTTGCAACATGACGCCATTTCCTTTTTGAACACAAGAGGGAGCTCTTAGATAGACGGTGATAGATACATTGCAGCAATAACAAATGCAAATAGCCAACGTAATGACTCAAAATTCATAATTGACACATTTGGACCATATTGTGGATACCAAACATATATATATATATATACTTCATACATTTTTATTTTTATTGCCTGATGTGTCGCCACACAGTCAGTAACCGCAATATTAATAACACATCTGGTATATGTATGTAGTATAAATAATGAACGTCGTCAAAATGCTGCATTACACGTAGCTGAAATAATGTTTTGGTGACTACAGACCTATAAATTCCACCAGGACAGATGTAACCCTAACCCACCATTCACTATTCTTTACCTATGGGACAGTGCTTCCTTTTTCCCTAGTGTGCGATTGCTTTATCACACGCTCCACTAGGTATTATGATTATCAATATTTAGCAGGAGGGCGTCAGCAGCACACAGGCCCCTCCCCTATCCGTGCGTCATAGCCTTGCGGGCACTTGACACAGCAGAGCCCATTGACGGGCGGCACTCTTCCAAGGAGCCCTGCGGCTCAGCGGATCTCCAGCTCAGCGGGTTGTGCCCCTTTACATAACTGCTGCTCCTAATCCCAGTCTCAGCTGCAACTGAGAAACGCAGTCCGATGCTAAGGATTTCAGATTTCACGCTATCCTTTCCGAATAGGCGCCACGATTTAAAAAATGCACACCATCTACAACTGTACAGAAAACTGGCAAATGTTTAATGAAACGTTAAATAAATGTGTGATATATATATATATATATATATATATAGAGAGAGAGAGAGAGAGAGAGAGAGAGAGTATGAGTTGTGTGTGTGTGTATATATATATATACACATACATATACTATATTTCGGGCAATCCTATCCGCAAAGGGCCAATGCGTATGACGCAGGGTTTGGGATCATTTTTAGGTCAGCTGTTCAAACCCAGATGTGAGGAGTCCGCAGCCAATCAGTCCTCTACCTGGTGCTCTAATTAGGACGTCACCCGACGGCCCTATCTGCATAGGATTGCCCACCCTTGCTGTATCTGATAGGGATACGGTGCTCTTTTGTAAATTCGCTGTTAACGCCTTAAACAAGCAGGTGCCAATTCCTTTGCTTAACTTCTTATCATGAAACATTTGACATTTTTCTTTTCTTTCGGACCCTTTACTACCTTGGTACTTAATCATTCTACTTCCATTAGTGTGTAAAAATCTGTGGTGTTGTAGATTATTCGGAGAGAATATATATATATTATTATTATTATTATTATTATTATTATTATTATATATATATATATATATATATGTCAGGCCTGTACATAGTGGAAGTACGTTAAATAATCAATGTATGTATGTGATTGTGAAACTTTTACTCTTGATACTGTAATTATGTGGGATCCGCAAGGCTACCAACTGTTTTCGGTGGGTTGTACCAGAGTTATTATGATAATAAGGGGGCAGCTCCCGGGAAATGAGTAGATGACGTTATCTGCCCGTTCCCGGAGAGTGAAACAAACATGGCGACAGAGTGCAGTGGACAGGGGTATATTCTAACTTTAGTGGTTTTCTTCTGGACCGTTGTTGTCGGACGACCGGAGGCAGCAGTGACGGGCGTGAGCAGCAGTCGCGTCTTGGGTATGAGGCTGGAGAGGAGCGACAAGCCGGCGACCACCACCGATGACGGTGTCATCCAGGTAACCGAGCAGAGCAGCGTCCAGCTCAGGTTTTACGGGGTGCAGATGAACTCTGGCACCTGGTCACAGATCAGGTTCATGGAGCGCGGGGACCGGGATGGCGGCGCCGGCGATGACAGCTCCAACAGGACTTGCTCTGATTTCACCAAAGACTTCAGCATCAGCAATTACATGAACGTCAGCAGTGAGGGCACGTCGGGGCTGCTCGCCGTAGACATCAAACCGCTCCGCAAGAGCGAACCGGCGAAGGACTACAGCCTGTGCGTCAGACGGAGTCCGGAAGACAAGTGGTACCTGCTGGGGGATAACGACGGCAGACTCCGCGTGGTGGAGGAGAAGAAGTCGCTCCTACCGCTTTGGCTGCAGGTGATGCTCATAATGTGTCTGCTGGTGCTGTCCGGTATGTTCAGTGGACTTAACCTCGGGCTCATGGCTCTGGACCCCATGGAGCTGCGCATCGTGCAGAGCTGCGGCACTGAGAAGGAGAAGAGGGATGCTCGCAAGATCGAGCCCATCCGCAGGAAAGGGAACTACCTGCTCTGCTCGCTCCTGCTGGGAAACGTGCTGGTCAACACCACGCTCACCATCCTGCTGGACGATCTGATCGGCTCCGGCCTCGGCGCCGTGGTCGCCTCCACCATTGGCATCGTTATCTTCGGTGAGATCGTGCCGCAGGCGCTGTGCTCTCGCCACGGGCTGGCGGTGGGGGCCAACACCATCCTGGTGACCAAGTTCTTCATGTTCCTCACCTTCCCCCTGTCCTATCCGGTTAGCAAGTTGCTGGACTGCGTGCTCGGCAAAGAGATAGGCACCGTGTATAATCGGGAGAAGCTGGTGGAGATGCTAAAGGTGACAGAGCCGTACAATGACTTGGTAAAAGAGGAGCTGAACATGATCCAGGGCGCCCTGGAGCTTCGGACCAAGACGGTGGAGGACATCATGACCCCGCTGAGCAACTGCTTCATGATAAACACCGATACTGTTTTAGATTTCAACACCATGTCGGAGATCATGGAAAGCGGGTACACGCGGATCCCGGTCTATGACGACGAGCGCTCCAACATCGTTGATATCCTCTATGTCAAAGATCTAGCTTTCGTCGATCCAGACGATTGCACGACACTAAAGACCATAACCAAGTTCTACAACCACCCTGTCCACTTCGTTTTCCACGACACTAAGCTGGATGCCATGCTGGAGGAGTTCAAGAAAGGTTAGTGTTTCTCCCGTGAATCTGGGGGTGTGAGCTGGAGAGTAGATACGATCCCAGGTTTGCGCAGGATTGTCCCCCCTGGCGCGTTTCACCACCAACTTCTACTTCGCCTCGGACGATGAGCCCCGAATCGGCGCCGGCGGTCCGGATGAAGGCGGTCGCCTAAATCACTTAATTTATTATCCGATACGGGGATAGAGTCTATAATTTTTTAATGCTATTGCATTTAAATGAAAGAAATGCGCAGCTTACGAAATGAACACAGTAATATTAATAGTATGCATGGCGTATTCCTGGTGTTACTGACTATCCGTGTCTGTAATAGCGCCGCAAAGTCTGCTCACTTACGATGATATTATGGTGAATATCGATGCTTTACACGGCAAGACGTCTTTGGTTAGGGTCACGAACATCGGGGGGCTGAGGTCTCCACAGATTTAGGGGGAAGCATGATTAATGGGGGGTTTACTACCACCACCACCCCCCATCCTCCCCGTAATTTGCAACCCATGCAAACGACAAAATAAGCGTGGAAGTGCAAATCGCTTAAGAAATCACAGATTTTTCGTAAGTTTTCGCTGTTCTTTACAGAGAACATTTTGTATTCCTGGTGTTACTGACTATCCGTGCGTAGTTTTTCTTCTACTGTCTAGTTGAAGAAATGGGGAAAGCGCTAGATATAGGCCTATGAATTTAGTAAACCACGAGGAATGGAAGATAATTGCAGCCCCCTTGATAGGGAGTTTGCAGACGGCTCCCCCCCATACGTAGTGTGCAGAGGTGCCCCTCCTTTAGAGACTATGCATAGCGGTGCCTCCCCCATAGGGAGTGTGCATACGAATGCCCCCCCATAGGGAGTATGCATCGGGGTACCCACCATCCTCCATAGGGAGTGTGCGAGGGGTGCCACCCCCTTAGAGACTGTGCGTAGGGGTGCCCCCCCATAGGGAGTGTGCATCGCCCCCCCAGGCATGCTGAAAGATATGCAAAATCTAAGGACCCAGAGCCAGAGAGATGTGTCACGTTTTGCAAGGATTTTGCTCATAGCCTGTGTACCTAAAGCCAAGAGTTTTACTTTAAGACGTTGATGGATTTTGAAGAGTTCAAGCTGCTATGTAAGTGAACATTACCTGGAAGTGTATATTTTGATTTGATGAATTAAATCCTATGTGGATTGAAATAAAATTTACATAATTTTACACAAATTATCCGAATTGCCCAAAGTATCAGTAGCATTGGTTACAAATTCCACTCTTTTGAAGGTAACTTTATACTCATTAAAATAAATTAATTGCATGTGTTTGGGAGGGAAACTATGACATGAATCATAGTCAAATGTTAAGTTTCAAACTTTAAATGAATATCGTCTTCACAACAAATAGACATGCAGGTGCACTAATGACCTCCGGTCTTCACACAGAGCCGATAATTAGAAGGAACAGGAATCATTAGCGTGTGTCTCCCTGCAGTGCCTCCCCAGGGCTGCTGACCCGACTCCATCCCTCCCCTGAGTCCGTCCGCAAAGTCACCTCCTCTACGGCTGGTTTCCATTTAAGCTTCAGAACAAACATGTTTTGTTTGTGGATTATTTTCTTCCTCTCAGTTTTCCAGAAGAAAAGAATGTTATGTTTTCTGAAGTTTTTGCCTGATAGTGGCGAAATTTTTTAAAACTGTACCAGATTTTGTTATGTTTGGGGGGGGTGGACAGTGTCCATGAGTATCGTTTAAAAGATTAAAATCTCCATATTATTACCAATCACAGGTAATATTTCTAAGGTCCCTCATGCATCTATTTCTGCAAACGACAGACTGAAGTGCTGTATGGTTTAGCTGAGTAATGTTTCACCCTGGGGACCAATAGGGTTGCTTTACCTATTTAAAGTGTAAACTATTTGACGGCCTCCTAAACCACACCATGTTTTTCTCAGGCCAAATTTGACTGCTGCTGCTGCCTTGCTATTTACAGTGAACTGGCATTCTTAAGTTATGGTTTTTCCCTCAAGAGCGGTATGGGGTTGCAGTGGCTGGCACTATTGCCTTGATATCGCTGGGACTGGGGTTCAAGTCCCTTCCCTGGCTCTGCATGTGTGGAGTTCACATATCCTCCCTGTGTTGTCATGGGGTTTCCTTTAGCTTCTCTGATTTTCCCCAACAGTCCTGTAGGGAGCCCTGACCCTGCAGTGCTGGTATCTCACAAGCTTTCTATCCTAACTGACTAGTTGCTATCTGCCTGAGATCAGGTGTGGTGCATCGGAGACCAAGTCGGATAGAAAACCTACTGGATGCTGGCAATCCACCAAGTGTTAATGTGAATTACAGTTGCCAAATTGTCCAAAGGTGTGTCTGTGTGTGTGTGTGTGTGTGTGTGTCTGTGTCTGTGTCTGTGTGTGTCTGTGTGGTGATGGGTTGGTGCCCATAGGCTCCAGACCTCAGCGACCCTCAATTGGACAAGCGGGTATGGAAACTGGAAGGATGGATGGCTTTTTCTGTCTTTCCCATTGTGTAGTGGAAATCTGCAAAGATTAGTGTCTTCTCTGTAAATCAGCATTTATCTGATCTCATTGTACACATACTTTTCATTATCTTAGTCTGTCAATGTTTAGCCTTAAAAAATGGCATTGACTCTTTGTAACTGCACAGGCCAGGAAACATTGTGATGTGCAGTTAGCCAGAGTGTGCGTTCATCCAAAGTTTAACATCTGTACAATACTTGCCAAACATTAACAGTATTATATGGTGCATCTGTAAGGCAAATAAGTTACAAATTTCTTGCAAAATAAATGTTTCGCATTCCAACGCAACCAGGATGCTCAGGGGTAGAATTTAGGGTCTGTCCATGTTAGCCAGAAAACATGCAATTGCTTGTGATAAAATGGCTCATACACAGATTAGCCATGACATTAAAGTCACTGACAGGTTTGGGTCGGAGCATCTCCAAATCGGCAGTTCAAACAAATTTAATCTACAGACATCTCATAACTTATGGGGCTTTTCCACTGGCACCAAGAGCTGAGTCGTAAAAAAGTGGAGCGTGCCGTTATCCGATGTGTAATTATGCAAATTCAACATACAAAATTGTACTGCTCCTATTGTACTACTTAAAAATGCAGATCCCCATTTCAGTGTCTTCTGCTTAATTTCACTTTTTGGCTGTAAGAGACAATAAAACGTAGCGTAGATGATGGATCACAGCTCACCACAAGGTGTCTTTACCCCACAGATTAGGAAATGAGTTGTTAAAATTACTTACAGGCTTTGGTGTTGGTTCACTGCTACGGTAAAAGTGACAATAAATTACGGTAATTCTCCTTGATCTGCTCCATAATGTCCTGTCTGAAAGTTTGGCCTTTAAGGTTTTGATACAGGAAGAGAGAACAATGTTTTGGCCATCAGGGGATAAAGTCGGACTCTTCTGTAGGCTGATAGGGCTACACACTGTAGTTTCAGCTGAGGTAAATGCTGGTAGCATTTATTCACTATTTACCCATTAGCCTGACAGTAACACAAGTGTGGGCTAAAGAGTATGTGTTTGAATACACAGACACACGCAAACAGCAAAGAGTGTAAGGATGTGACTACCCTGTTTGTGACTTGGGTGCTATTATTAGAGTTAAACCCTTTGCTTGCAATGCCATGCTGCTCTGATGACGTCGTCTCCCTGAACCCAAGGCTGCATCCAATGGGATGAACAGAGACTGGATTACTTTTGGCTTCCATATCGCTAAGAATAACTGGTTTACAGAACATGTATTACTGTAGTCAGCAAGAGCTCCTGCAGCATGCCTACGTTTTGGTAGTTCTGTCCAGTATTGGATGGTTTCTTGTCTGTATGTGTAGCCAGTGATGGTGTGTGGCTCTGTGCCTGTGATCAGAAGGTTGCTTTTTCAAGTCCCATGGCTGGTGGAGTGATGCTAACATAACCCAACGATTCTCACAGACTTGGGCCCAAGGTCATTAATACCTTCATGGACTGACTGATTCTCGCATATAAGATGCTCTGGACAAAAGCTGTTTAATAAATGTAATGTACTTGGGCTTCATGCCTTGCTTACGAGGAGATGTGTAATTTCCATTTCTATGATCACTACACGAGTAGCTCATCTCATGGAAATTGTGAATTATGTATTTCAACCATTCTTCCAATACAACACCAGAGGAATTTGGCTTATCATAAACTTGTATGTAATCATCTCTGTCATACAAGTACTGCCTTCCACAAGCTTTTAGAAAGGCAGCTTGTTAAGGAAGCTTCATGGATAGGATGGTGAATGACCAGTGGGACCATAAAGCCCACAAAGCTGATATTAGTACATCCATGTTCAGAAGGTTCTGAAATTTCAGCAGAAATCAGGCAGGATTTGGAGCCAAGTCGGACCATGAGCAGTTCTAATTTCCATTTCCATGGAAAACCTACAAGTGTATCTGGTCAAAAAATGTCAGACAAAATATTATGCGAAACAGCACCACCCTCAGGTTGATAAAGGGAACTTCAATGAAGTAAAACATTTTGCCTCACTAAGTAAAAATTTCTCATCACCTTCTACTTAGCACTTGATTGGATAGTTATGGAATATGGCATGTTTTTAAACCCATCCAGTTTGGATTGACGCACATTTAACCAATCAGAGTGTCCAGCCATCAACCAAAATAAATTCACTTGTTCACCAATATTCTTTGTTGATATGTGGACAAAGAATCGGTATATACCCTAAGTGAAAGAGGGAAGAGTTAAAAATACTTTGATTTGTAAATACCGCTCTTGTTGATTGTAACTATTCCTGTGTATATACTGTAAATAAGAACGTTCGTTTTTTTTTTTGTTCAGCTTTTGTAGTGCAAAAGAACATGTCTGTGTACTCGTGCAATGAAATATTTTGGAAAATGTGAGGATTACAGACGTTCTTTTCTGCAACAACAATGTATTTGTATAACAATTTTATTTCAGAAAAGAGGTGCATTTGTTGAAAACTTAAAAACTTATTTTAAAAAGAATCTGTCAGCATAATTTTCTGAGCATCAGCTCACCACAGTAATAATTACATAGTTGAAGGCTTGAGATACTTAATAGTGCTACATTTGATTGAAATTTCCAAACAATGGAAAATTACCACAGTGTAATGAATATATTAATATTTATTATAATATTTGTCATGCATCCATCCATTTTCCATACCCACTTGTCCTGTAATAACTAATAACTAATATATACTGTATGAAGTTATACAGTAAGTGTAGGGTTTGTCTCACTAAAAATATTCATCAGCAACCACTATGAGAGATATATAATCCTGGTTTTTATTTGTAATTTAAATAATTGTTATTTTAAAAATATTTCATAAAAGTTCCAATGTTTGTAGTCTGTATATTTGTCCTCAACCTGTTTCAGGAAAATCCCACCTGGCCATCGTGCAAAAGGTGAACAATGAGGGTGAGGGTGACCCCTTCTATGAGGTGCTGGGCCTGGTCACGCTGGAGGACGTCATCGAGGAGATCATCAAGTCGGAGATCCTGGACGAATCGGACCTCTACAGTGAGTGCTAGACGCTGTCCGTTGCCGTGGCAGCACACACCCTGCGCTTGTCATAATGACTGCCATTTCTTTATTATAATGCTGCTTGACAGACAGTCTGTGCTGATTAAGACTCTATTGTCTCAGTATAAAGAGTGATTTATAGTTCCGTGCTAAGCCTACAGCATAGCTACGGTGTATGGTTGCATCACTGCAGACCCCTACGATTCTGATTGGTGCGCTTGGTAAAAATTACGGAGGATGCTCTACTTGAGGCTGTTTTGTTGCCAAATGCAACAGCCTGTTGGCTTCGACCTGAAGCTAGAACACGACGGGTTACTGCCAGTCACTGTGCATAGACTAATGTGCAGTAAATGAGCAAAGGCAACAAACCAAATGATCAGATCTACCTGCTGACATTCAAAACTATTTGAATTCCAACTCTTCATCCGTCTCTGTTGTCGTATCAACACGGAAATCTCCCCCTCCCCCTGCCTAATTATTTTTACTGGTCTTACATACCATTGACTGCTGATGCAGAAGTGTAGATTGATTTATATGCCCTAGTCCAGGGGTCTCCAACTCCGGTCCTGGAGAGCTACTGTCCAGTCGGTTTTCAATCCTACCTGGCTTCTGATGAGCCACAGCTGTTCTCAGGTAAATACCAGGAGCAGGTGTGGCTCATCAGAAGCCAAGTAGGATAGAAAACCTACTGGATGGTAGCTCTCCAGGACCGGAGTTGGAGACCCCTGCCTTAGTCTATGGAGTACAGACTACATGCACGGTTATGGATTAGGCTCAAAGTATAAGTCGGCCTTAAACTGTGTTCCTCTGCAGCCGATAACCGGAACAGGAAGAAAGTGGCTAACAACAAGAACAAGAGGGACTTTTCTGCCTTTAAGCAAGAGAGCGAGTCCAAAGTCAAGATCTCCCCTCAGCTGCTGCTGGCTGCACATCGCTTCTTGGCTACAGGTGATGATGCGTCAGTGTTATACTGGGCTACCCGAGCTTATTTTGTGCTAGCATACCATAACCATTATAGCATGACTAGCAAAACCTTGTGCTAACATAGCATAGCTAGCATGGTATAGTTAGCATAGCATAGCTAGCACAACACCGTGCTTTGCTAACACAACTAGCAGAACATGGCTAAGAATCACATTGTGCTAGAGCAAGATCAGCCAAAGTACCTTGAGCCATAAGAGTTTACATCATGGAGCAGTGCAACGAATCGTTACTATTTTGCTATATGTAACCAGTCGTCACTGTCCGAGGAAAACCGCGTATGTCCACTTTTGAGGATTTTGGCTTTTTACCATAGATGGAATACACCTTTACTATAGATGGAATACATTCTTCTTTGTCTATTGATAGCATTTGACATCTGATTGACCAATGAAAAGATGTTTTATAAAGTCACCAATTTAACTAGTATCTCCATTGGATGTCAGAAGTGTCCATCAAAACTGTGTATCTCCCACCCTAACTAGTGCTGCGTGATTCTGGGTAAAATGAGTCACGATATTTGGTCGCTCACAATCGAGATTGGAATTTTCGCTCACAATTCTTGATTGATATATTCCTCTCATTATGATTATTATTATTATTATTATTATTATTATTATTATTATTAATATTATTATTAATAATAATATTCTTCTTATTATTATTAATATTATTATGTCACAAGTGTTTGTGCTTGTATCCCTGTATCTGCACAAGCACCTGCCTCTCTGTTCACTCCCCTGTTTTTGACCTTAGCATTCTTTGCCCATTTAGATTCTCGTTTAGTGTTTTGGTTCCCTGTTTGTTCTGCATCCGGGTCCCCTCCAGGGCTGAACTGGGATTAAAAATCGGCCCTGAACTCTGGGAGCCCCCCCACCATAAATTTTGCAATTCTTCCAAACGGGAAGGTCCCACAATAAATTTTGCTGGTCCCCGGGAAAATTCCCAGTCTGCCAGATTGCCAGTCCAGCCCTGATCCCCTGCTCCCAATCCATCCCTTACACATACAAGCTCATCAATTCATCGTCAGCAACCCCCCCCCCCTCTCCATATTACACAAAAATATATTGGTTATCGGTATCAGTCAAAATTTCAACATTGTCACACCACTAACAGTATGATCAATGCAATGGGACTGTCAAATAGACTTTGCAGAACGGAGAGGGCACGCTCCTGTGTTATAACAAACAACTCCTTTCCAAATGCTAAACGTAAGCTTAAACCTCGTCTGCTTTTTATTACAGCACCTGTTTTTCTGCCCCCTCTTCCTGTCACACATCGTAACGCAGTCCCATGATTTATTGATACTGCTTAGGCTGATATGGGGAGCAGCAGAATCGTTGTCATGTGAGAATGAGATCACCTAGAGATCGAGGAATCGAGATCGCAGTTCAGCCCTAGAATGCGATCGCACAGTGGTATGAATCAAGAACGATTCATTGTGCAGCCCTAGGGTCTAATTTTCCTCACCCGATTGCTGTTACTTGAAACCAGGAAATCCTAATGAATTCTTGGAATATAGTGAACAGGGTGACAAGGCTCAAACTAACTGTGTGCCAATGCAACGCGTGGTAAGAGAACCACGTAAGTCTGCTTTTACTGACAACAATCCTCGTAAGTCCTTTTAAAAGATAAAACCATTCTCTGACAGCTGTGTAAAGATGGGATTCTCTTTCTGTATTGTTTGAGGTTTATTTTGTTAAATAGTTTCAGAGAAAATGTCTTTTGTTCACGCACCTGAAATACTGGATTTTTGGTGATACGTGATTTTCACTGGACAGCAGTGAAATACATCTGTGCACTTTCTGCCCTTCATGCTCGGCGTGAAAAGCTAGTGATGTTTCACTGATTCACCAGTTCCTTTGAGCAGCACGGGCAGGCAGGGCTCTGTACCAGGGTGGAGATTTGCCGCATAAGCATGAAATCCCAAATGACGTGAAAAGCCTTCTCTGGGGCTAAGGAACATCTCCTGACAGCTGACTTCCAGTCACAGCTGGTCATGGGCGTGTGGGTACAGCAAATTCTAACGTGGCAACATTGCTAATATAGGACAAATATTGAATCTTGTTCTTTCGATTTGTAAAAAAAAAAATACTTTCTTATTACATCCAGCAGTATAAAAAGGTTGAAAGTCAGTGCAGAATGAACTTCTCAGGGTGTTTTGAAGCCTCTGTGTTTAGTTTGGTTGTTGAATGATAGTCTGTCATCCTATTCAGTGTGTCCTCAGGCCTTATCTGTCATTACCCCCAGCTTGGTGTAATACGTCCAGTGATGTCACTGTACAGGAAGTACTGTTGTCACATGTAATTAGCACCCACATAATGGCCTGAAAGTTGGCCAGAAAAAACACTGCAGTTTCCTGTTTACCTTTGCGTGACGCAGTTGCCCTGCCCAAGTCTCAGTAACTTCTTTCTCAACTTATGAGGTGAGGTTGACACACAACCCCACTGGCCAACACTACACCCATATTCTTTTTCCACCCCCCACCCCCCACAGAGGTGAGCTTGTTCAGCCCCACGCTGATCTCCGAGAAGGTGCTTCTGCGAATCCTGAAGCATCCGGGTGTCATCCAGGAGATCAAGTTCAGTGAGAGCAGCAAGCACGCTCCTCAGCATTACGTGTACCAGAGAGGCAAGGCTGTCGACTACTTTGTCCTCATCCTGCAGGTGAGCCCCACTCATTTTTCCGCCCCCCCCAGCTCCAAATTTGCATTTATTTAAATGTATTCAGTTAGCAGACGCTTGTATCCAAAGTGACGTAGTATTGAGAAAACAGGGTAGGCCAATCCCCCCCAAAACATGGTGATTTTTTTCATAGGGGTCAGGTGTGTGTGTGTGTGTGTGTGTGTGTGTGTGTGTGTGTGTGTGTCTGTCTGTGTCTGTGTCTGTGTGTTGGGGCAGGTCGGGTCCATGGCTGGTCAGACAAGTACAGTGCGATGAATAAAGCTGCTCATTGGAAGTCATGTGACCATCGCGTAGTAAGGGTGTTACATTGGAGGTGTGGGGAGGTTGTGGGGAGGGGCTGCGGAGGAGCGGCAGCTGTGACCCCAGCGAGGGGTGAGTGTGGCCCAGCAGCGCTTGGCAGGCCTGCCCTTCACTAATTGATCCCCTTTACATAAGTCAAAGAGGCCTCCCACTGTGGCACAACTGGGCTGCACCCCACAGCGCTAATCCCGCTGCTTCCACTCGGCTGCCCTGGGATGCTGAGGCACACACACACACACAGACACACACACACACGCACACCCACACAGACACACACACAGACACACACAAACACACACACACACAGACACATCCATCTCTCAGCTGCTTCTCCTGGTCACGGTCACGTGGGCGGTCCTGGAGCCTTTCTTAAGAAAAAAACTCAGACAAAACTGTTAGTGTGACTAATATTTTATTGATTTTTCATCAAGACATTTAAAGAGTCACAACAGGCTTGTAAGGTTTTTTTCCCTGTATCCCAACCACCAAACCTGCTAGGATCTAGCATGTCCTTATCTGAAGTCCTAACCCTAACCCTAACCCTAACCCGTTTTAAACTCGGGCTACACAAATTTTCCCGCATGCCATTGCCAGTTTAACTAGTTCACCTTAACAAAGTGTCACATCTCATTCCGTAATGAGATAGCAGTGAAGTCCCCCCCCCCCACATAACCTTCAGAGATGCAATTACACTCCCTAAAATGCGCCTTGGGATCATTAAATCACCCCAGATTATCATCTTTCCAAACCCCCCCCCAGGCCGGTCACCTCCCATGCGGTGTGCTCGGGTACGTCAGAAGGAGGGTAACCCCCCACCGAGCCTCTGAACACACTAATCAGAACCTAGATTATGTGCTTTGTCCCTCCAGGGGATCCTCCAAGCTGAGAGAAGCTCACGCATCTGGCATGGCTTCTCAGCCCAGCCTAGCAGCATCTCGCGATGAAGACCTGCGGTCACCTGCCCTTCTTAGTCTTGCCATGTGTTGTGGTTTTCAGTCTCTTGACTTAGCAACTGTCATGTACAATGACAATAAAAAATTAAATAGTAGCCTGTAGGGTTAAGGTTTGCTTGATGGCAACAAGTTGTCCATGAACACATTACCTGGACTCAACATGTGTTTTTGCCATGTAATTCGGAGCACACATGTTTGCGGTCTGAATGTGTGTGTTCGTTTGAGTTTCAGTTTACGGCTTTCTAGATACAGAAACTTTGTTTGACTCACAGACGCCTTTTCTTGAAGGCTGTTGTGCTGCCCTTCATGCGTGTTTAGACTGTGTTGACCAGTGCCGGATGACAGCATTGTTAACGTTTCATCAGCTTGTCATCCTCCCTTCGTCAGTACAGTAAATACAAATTTAGTAAATGCAAATTTAGCACTGTTACTCATATATGTAATTCAAAAAATGTTGTGGTTGTTGTGGTCTATGTCTTCTCTGGCTCTGTTTCTGTATTCTACTGGTAAAGTGTCTCAGGAAAGGGACTTTTTCCATGGTTAAACATTGTGGCATAAAATCATATGGTTGCTGTTTCATTGGGGGGGGGGGGGATAGCGAGCCAGGTGGGAGTGGTAGTAAGGCATGACTGGGTCTGATATCTCCAGTGGTCTGCCCATCTGGAAGAGGGTTGTACTGGGCTTTGATTGGTTCCTCAGAATGCTCAATCTGGGAGATCTCCGTCTTCCTGCCTACCACATGAAACCAGTCTTGAGCCACAGTCTATGTCAGGGCTACCCAACCAGCTTAGCTATGTTGAAGCTAAACTGGCTCTAATACTGACATACCACTGAAGGGCCTAGGTATCTGTATCAGGTGTATTCAATTAGGGCTGTACCTAAGCTCTGTAGGGTGGTAGATCTCCAGGAGCAGAGCTGGACAGCCCTGGTCTATGTGATCACTGTGCAGTCTCATCCAGTAGGAGCTAAGAGAGTAACCAATGAGGAATGTTCAGGGTGTTTTTGATTGACAGCCTTCTTTAGTCCCACCTTCTTGGCAACCTCATGGGGTCATTACATATGGGGTAATGTAAATGGACCATTCGTTAAATCATATCTGCATGCAGTTGCAGGATGCCCCTGCCCAACCCCAGTTTTTCCACATATAAATTGGCTTTGATTTATGGGAGGGGCTCTGTTCTTGTTTGAGGGTATGGCCCTGAGAGTGGGCGGAGGGTAGCCAGGGGGAACTGTGGGGTGGTTTTGATAAAGGGTTGGTCACGTGGGGCCTGGTGGGTGCGGAATGTTGACCCACGCCTGATTGGCTGGGAACACGGATGGCTGTGTCTGTATCCGGGAGGGATGCGAGAGCGGACAGCGGAAGCGAGCTCGTGGGAGGTGTGCGTGACATTCCTACCGCGTATGTGTGTGCGTGGCGGGAGATCAGCAGTACTGTGTTTCTGTTGTCGTTCACACATTCCCGAATTGAGCAGCGGCAGCTCTAAGCCACCCCCCCCCCCACCGACCTTGCTCTATCTGGTTCCTCTTCTCTATCTTTCCCTATCCTTCTGTTTGCCCTTCCCTCTATCTGCCTGCCCCCACTCCTGTCTGTCTCCTACAACAGTGCATGCATTCAGATAGTACTTCGGAAAGACGCCGAGGACCCAAATGGCCAGTAAATAAGCAGGTGCTGTTTAGGTCATCCAGAGTACGGCAGGAGAACAGCGCTCATGTGTCTGTTATGGTGACTTTAAGGCCAATGGCAGCTAACAGATAAACACACATTGTTGTTAATGACTAATAAGGCTTGTGCTTTGAGTAAGTGACAGGAGAAAATGCGTTGAGTATTCACCAGGGAGTGTGCTGTTGCTAGAATCACGGCTTGGGCGTGTCTGTGCATGTGACATTGAACTCTGCGTTCTGTATCTTGCTATATATCGTATGTCTGTATGTGTTATTGTGCCACGTTCCTGTGCCTGTGTCTGCCTGCACGCATGTGACCGTGTTTTCTTTCTCCTTAGGGCCGGGTCGAGGTAGAGGCTGGTAATGAGAACATGAAGTTCGAGACGGGTCCCTTCTCCTTCTATGGGGTCATGGCCCTCAGCTGCCAGAGCCAGGGTGAGCGAAGCCCCGCCCCCCTGTTAATTGTTATTGTAACACTGGCGGCCATTTAACACTGTCGGGTTCTTACTGATATAGACAATATGATGGTCTAGTATATTTATCCAAATTAACTTTTTGCTCATTTAAATTGGTAAATGCCACATGCAACAATTCTGATCATGTGCCTAGTTCAGTGATACCTCTGTGGGGCCCTCTCGGGATTTGAACCAGCAGCCTTCAAGTTACGACTGACACTACGACAGATTAAGAGGAGGGGAAGTGTCTGTCTTGCTGAATTTGTGGCAGAACCAGACTTGCGTCACTGAGGATATAGCGTAGCGTAGGAGCCTCTGATTGCTATCCAGGGAGCTGTAATTAAGGGACAGAGCAATCTGGACCAATATATTGAAAACTATTACCAGGAATGCTCTGGTGCCAGCTAGTGGTCTAGAAATGTAATTACAAATTCATGGTTCCTGGACAGCAGTAGAATAGAATACCATTATTGTCATTGCAGAGATAGCAAGTAAATTAAATCTTCACATCTGCTATGTTTTTCTCCTATGAGACAAATGTGTGAACACAGCTTGGGGTCAGAGTGCATTTTCTGGGGTCTCTGGAGCACTGTGTGACAGTAAGGGTTTGCTCAAGACCCGCAGTGATGCGATTGGAACCGGCAGCCTTCCTGACCTGTCCCTAAACTCCTGACTAGCAGAACCACACGCTGCCGTTCCAGCCCCTGGACTTATTTGTTATTCTTTCCACAATAAATTTAAAAGAAACTGTTCAGCAGGCTAATCAACAACCAACTGCTTTAACTAAAAAACACATTTCAAAGGCACATTAACTAAAGCTTAACAATGCCAGAGTATTTTATTCTCTGTTCTTTCCATAAACGTAAACACACACACACACACACACACACACGAAATCTCACCATGAGATTTTGTGCCTGGATTCCAGAATTTTTGCAGCACAGAAGCGACAAAATTATCTCAAAAGAAGCCAGATGATTTTATTGTTTAATAAGCCAGTGTGAATAAGTAACTGGGCACCCATTAGGGTTCATCCCCGCAATGGTTTAACTTGGCATATTTTGAATTTTCAACGGTGCGATAGCGAGGCACGATCAGTAGTCATCAAACTTGGAATTTTAATCTGTTCCCAGGCTACCGGCATGTTGTAGATACTTACATACTGGTGCCGGGTGATAGTAGCATCAACACAGCCCTGCTTCACGTCTCTGTAGGGATTGTGATCATAAACATCTCATACATGAAAACATATTGTAAAATGTTTTTTTTTCGTGTGATAAACAAAATCTTCATGAGGATTTGTAGCTCCTGGACCAGAACTCTCCACCTCTGTATATATGTATGTATGTATATATACATGTATGTTGGTATGTATGTATATAACATGCTTCCTTGATATGTGTGCTCACAGATTCCACACTGAATCTGTCCTTAAATGTAATGAAAGCCTTTTGCTGCTCTTGCCCACGCCGCATTAAAATTTCTGCTCTGCTATTCGTAATGATGAACTGCAGAGCTGGCAAGCTAAAGCATCCCTTGGGTTATAAATTACCTTCCAGTTAGCCTGTTAGCACGTAGCAAGAGATTTACTGTTCAACTGCATTGCTGCATCAGTAGGTGAAAATATAAAATTGTAAATGATTGCATATAGGTGGATTTTGTTAAAGATTATGTAGATGCTAAAAAACTGGATTGAGTGACCAAAGAAAGGTCTTTGCAGAGGTACAGATGTTGTTCATACCCAAACACACCCCAGAAAATGGACTCTGAGACTATGGCCTACACAGCATAAGAAAAAGAAGGGATTTCTTTGAAAATATGACCCGAATTGTTGCTTTCTTACTGCCTTTTTTAAACTTGTTTTCTTCCCTCAAGTACGGTTTTGCTGAGAAATTCCAGAATTTCCTCAGTCATTGTACAGCTCTTATAAACACATGAACAAAGTGGATTCAAAAATTAACTTGCCCGTTTTATTCTTTTTAATTGTTTGAAGGCTCCTGATTTTTACCAGATATCTACCTCACCTCTTACCCCCTTTCTCCTCAGCCTTGTTTAATGTCTCCTAGCCTTGCATTCTATTTATACAGACCAGCAACACTCTCCACGTTACAAGACCTTGAGGCCAATAAAATAAGACTTGATGTCTATGGGAATCTGCTAGCAGTCATCCACTAGATGGCGCTTGTGCCCAGTGGCACAAGGTCTTGGAGGGATTGGCCGATTTTAATTTTGCTTTGGCATCTGCTTGGGACAAAGCTGTCCCTCCAGTATAGAGTGTATATTCTACAATATGGTGTACCCATGGCTAATTCTGGGCATCGGCTGTTTTCCGCACATATATATTTTGAGTTTATTGCCTATTTTTAATCATGTGAAAAAACACATCTTTTAATCTTCCAGCAATCCCTGTGAAAATGGCTGCTAGAGATTGTTTTGCATCCAGACTGTTAAGGTTACCCTGGCGTATATAAGTAGTGTTTTAATGGACGCTGCTAGTCTATGTTGGTAACTGATGTCAATGGAGTCAGTTTCAGGTTCGTGTGAACCTGTTTAAACCGGTCTCTCTCCCCCCTCCCCCTCCCTTATTTCCCATTTACCCCTTGCTCCCCCAGTCGTGTCCCCCTCCCTTTCTCCCTTAGTTGTTTCGCCTCGCCCCCGATATCTCTCGTTAAAGAGGTTCTCTTTGTTCTCACGCTTCCCAGGTAATATTCTGCATGGGGGGGGGGGGTTAGTCTGACTGAATATCGGCTCCCTCGCTTCACAGCTGGGAGGAGGCACAGTCCAGCAGGTTTGACACTGACCACACTAGCAGTTTGGCGCCCCCTGTTATAAAATAATCTATTAATTAAAAGTGGAATGATGGAGTCTCAGGGTATACTTACTACTGAGTTATCAGGATGACGGAACTGGAATGACTCCTTTGCACAGCATGCTGCTTGTCTTATGTTTCGCATGTAAACATTATTATTTTAGTAATGGGCTTATGACCAAAAGAGGACCAGTATTCCCTGAGTCGCACATGGTTCAGATCTGGGCCATGGATCTACGGGTTCAATGTCCACCTCATGGTACCTGTCAAGACACAAGTGAACCTGCTTGGTTGGAGCCTTTTAAGTTTTGGAAGAGTGGAGCACTCTAACACTAGGGGGCGCTACATATAACCAGTTACTGCCGTGTAACACTCTTGCGGCACTAACTCCGTCCCGTCCACCCCACGGCCCGACCTGACTTTTTCTCCTCCTTGTTTGGTGCTGGTGCTGGTGCTGGCGGGCCATCGGTGTGGTGCGTTGGCACTCAGAAACGTGCCCCTAGTCTGCCGATCACAGCACCGATCAGGGTTTGCCTAGACCTGTCCGCGCTACTGATTCGACATTAGCTTGAGATTTCACTGACTTCCCATCATGCTTAATCATGATAGTCATGCACATTAATAAGCAGCATGGCCAGAAGCCTCATTTTATGACATGCGTTCCCCAGCCAATCTGTATCTTTATTATATTCCACTACCATGCAATCTGATTTACCTAATCAACTAACCTTAGAGCCTACAATTAATCTGGATGTGCAGGAGGTGGAATATAACAAACATATGGAATCACTGACTGGGAACAGAGGACTTTGGCAGCAACTGTTATAAGGAATTATCCGATTGCCTTTTAGGGTGTTATATTTATCAGGAATTGGTGGTTCCATGTGTGAAAAGACCTTATGAATATTTATGCACTGGGAGGCTTGGAATGCAATGCCACTGAATATATAAAACCATGGAATTCCATAGAATTAATATGTGCAGTTTAGCACATGTTTGGAAATGTGACACAGTGAATGGCAGTTATATTGCAGACATCAGCAGAAATCAGATGTCACAATGATGTTGCATATTTGGGTACTTTGTGTAATATGTCAAATATTATAAGCAATACTAAATGTTTATCTATGCACTATGTTGACTATGTTGTAAATCATGGATTTTGGCTTGTGAACGAGCCGGTCTCTTCCGTCCACCAGTGCATGGTGGGAGGGGTCAGTCTGTAGAAGAATGATTTATTTTCTCTGCCACTAAGTCGCTGGTTTGACTGTATCATGGCGCCACTTGTTCAGCCTCTTCTCCTGTTCAGCGGACCACAGTCATGTCATAGGAAATGACATTTTTTTTGTTTTTCAGCAGCAGTTCTTTGTTTTGAACACAATCAACTCTCAAGAGATTAAAAAAAAAGTCACAATGGGTGTTTAACCTTGACAGCAGTGATGCTTCGGTCACATTCTGGAGACAAAGTTCACAGCTCTCATTGTGGGTGATGTAGTGCAGCTTAATGTAATCCTGTGGACCTGCTTTGTGGGCAAACCCCGGAGGTCAGCTGTCAGCCGGCTGCGTGGGGTGGGGCTTAGAGAGGCTCAGCCAGTAATGTGCAGACGTGACACAGCACCATCGCCCTGGTTTTCCCTCACTGTGACGTAGTTGGGGGGACAGGGAGGCGCAGGATTGGTCAGTGATGGGTGCTTCTCAGAATAGAAGTGATCCCCTTCCACCAATCCCTGCCTTCTTCCTTCCCTCTCTGGCCCAACTGCACTTTGTTTCTGTTTTGACCGACCGCCACTCAGAGACGGTCCGGGCCCAGGTACAGGTGGGGGCCACAGGCCTGCAGTAAAGCCAGGACAGCGGGGGCCTTAGGGGTAGGGGCTCCACCGCCAAGGGGCTCGCAGGGTCAGGGCTGAACAAGGACCCCCCCCCCGCCTCCCCCTCTCCCAGCCTGTGGGCGGCTTCTAACGTTACCCTAACCCATCCCCCACCCCCACCAGCACCGTCGCGCCTCCCACAGTGCGGGAATGTGGCCTGGCTCACACCATTTCTCCCGTTTATTTGTCATTTTCACTCATTTCCGTTATAGAATAGTTATTTGTGTCATATGTCCTCCTTTCTCTTTTTGTCTTTTCCCTATATTCCTATGATCTCAGAAAGTGCATTTGCACGTGTGTGTTTGTGAGGGGTGTAATGGTGTGCTCACTGAGTGCCACTCCCCTGTGATAGTGTCTGTGTATGTGTGGTCCTGACTGTTCGTGTGTGTACGTGCGTGCGTGTGTGTGTGAGTGTGCGTGAGTGTGCATGTGAATGTGCGTGAGTGTGTATGTGAATGTGCGTGAGTGTGTATGTGAGTGTGCGTGAGTGTGTATGTGAGTGTGCGTGAGTGTGCGTACCCGACGCTTGTCTAACGCCATGCATGTGTGTTGCAGAGCCTCGCTCGCCGTCCCTCTTCGGTGGCCTGAACCGCTCAGCATCCCTCAGCTGCGCAGAGCGCTCCGACTCCCTGTCCGTCAGCGGCAGCAACACTCAGCTCAGTGGCGCCCCCTCACCGCAGTACATCCCTGACTTCTACGTGCGCGCCCTCACAGACCTGCAGTTCGTCAAGGTGGCAGCCCGTGGACGATCGCTCCTCACTGCACTGTCTCACAGACACACAGACACACACACAGTTCATATATTCCTATCATTGTGGGGACTCTCCATTCATTTCTATGGGCATAACCCTAATCCTAGCTATGACAACCTTAACCCCTACCCAGCCCTAACCTTAACCGTAAATAACCAAACAAAAGACAAGACTTTTGGCTATTTTTACAAATTGTATAAAGTGGAGGTTTATATTGTGGGAACCTGAAAAATATCCCATCAAGCTAAGAAAGTTTTTCCACCCCACAATCAGAGTTAGAAAGTTCTGGTCCAGAAAGTACAAATCCAAACCTTGGTCTGGTATGGGACTTTCTGGACTTGAACTTTCCACTTCTACCCACAATGTGGCAAATACACTGTGGTGTAAGTTGGTAGTAAATTCTGCAATCAGGGCCTCCACATAGCAGCTAGGCCTGTGACCTTATGGTAGTGTAACAGCATTGCTCTGAGTATTATGGAGGCTAATTCCACACTAGTAAACCTGGTGCCTGTCGGTTCCCACCTCACATGACAGCTGGTGTCCATCTTGCTGTGAGTAGCGCCTGATGGCCGTCACTTGCTGCCCCCCCAGATCACTCGCGCGCAGTACCAGAACGGTCTGATGGCGTCCCGCCTGGACAGCACCCCCCAGTCTCCGGACAGCGGGCACAAGCAGCTGGACACTCTGCCCTCGACGCCAGGCCCACAACCACCCGACTCAACCCCCGGAAACGGCCTGGATGAGACCACATCCCTGCTGAACGACCAGAACTGCCTGTCTGGGTGCCAGCCAAACCATACCACCGAACACACACCCCCACCCCCACCCGCCCACGGCCAAGCACACACGCAGGGTTCCATGTGACCACAGGATCACGCTTCTGGGGCCCAGCAACGGCACCTGACACCTCTCCCTAACCATACTCTACTGCACACTCTGAGCACACACCCAAAAAAGGGAGGTCTGTCGGCCAGTGTAAACCAGGGACACACAAGCAGTCTTATTCCAGAAGATACCATCTTACTCCAGCATCTCCAACCCAGCCTGCTTCTCATGTCCTGCTGGGATGGACAGCCTGGTGTGTGTGCGTGCATGTGTGTGTGTGTGTGAATGAGAGAGAGAGAGAGAGCGAGCGAGCGTATGTGTATCTATTGGGCTCACGCGTATTGTCTCTTCCTAGCATGAGATAGAAAATAAGGGAACTGATGTAAATCTGTATTTGACCTTGTTGGTAATCCTCACACTGCAGCTCTCAGTAGATATAATTCCCTGGGTTTTATGCAAAAATGGGCAGGAGAAGCATCAGTGATCTGCCTTCAGAATGGGGGAACGGGTGGGG